GCCCTAGGACAGTCTACATAAAACTGTTTACAGTCTCCTGACAGTAAGAGATAAGCAGGCCTAGCCTTTCCAGGCACCCTCAGCAAGTACCAATTTCCATTAGCTTAGTTCTCCAATTCCTCCCCCCACAACAACTATGAGCATGTTTTATACTGTTATAAGACCTTGGGAACAAAAGCAAAAGGACTTAATAGATGCAGAAAGGTTTAAGACCATTTATGCTTCTTTGAGTGATGGAAAGATGAGCTTATGGACTAAGATACCCCAATGTACTCAACAGGGCCAAGGTGGCATTTGTAAGACTGGTTCCAACAGGATAGAGTTATAGGCTGCTCAATCTAAGGTAGATATATTGGGTTTCTTCAGCAACATGTTCTGGTTTGCACAGTGAAGCCTTTTCTTTACTTGTGTTAAATAAAAGAAGAATAGATGGCTTTGAGGAAAAATGCGTGGGTGCCAGCTAAAGAGAGACTAGTGCCAAGGTCAGTGCCAAAGCATAATTTACCTCCTCCAGTTGGAACCAATGGTTCTATTGACTCTGTTGGTAAAACAAGTACCAGTCTCAGAGTTGATGCGGATGAAAGTGTAAACTGCTAGCGTTTGCAGGCCTATACACCAATCATGACTGAAAATTATTTAAAGACTGACCTCACGCACAAGGTCCATGCCTACTTATGAGTGGGAAACATACCAACACAAAGATGGCAGACAGGTTTCCATACCCACTAAATCTTCCATTATGCAGTCTTAGATATGACACCCCTTCCCTTCACCAAAGCAACATATTATTGATTATTTTCAGAAGGCCAAGGATTTATACCACACTATTCCACCTTTCTTGCCTCAGCAGAAGGATGGACAAGAAATTCTTGTCATGGTTGTATGCTCCAATTCCCAAAACACTTATTCGTTTAAAGTTATAGTATATTAACTATTGGTAAAATTAGTTACTTGGCATGAGCTTCTAGTGAGGGATAGGGATAGAAAGGTTTTAGTTAATTCTCTCCTTTTTTTTTTTTTCTTAAAATAAAGAATGTCATAGTTACCCTCCCCTCCAGTAACTGCAAAAAGTTGCAAGAGGCATGATCGTGCGGAAGGGGTAGGGGTAGGAAAGAGAAAATTATTTTTATTTTCTGATATCCTCTAAACTCCCATTTCTATTTTAGGCTGTACTTCACATACCAGAAAGAAGAGAGAGAGAGGGGGGAAAAAATTTTCTTTTGCAAGATTTAAGAAGTTTCATTCTTTTCCAAAAGAATGTTTTGTGCAATAAATAAAACTTACTTGCATCTTGAGGAATGGGTGCTGAGGCTTCAGACAAAATTGCTGGATTAGCTGGGTTTGAAGAAAAGGCAGTCTGGGCCTAATGGGAAAAAAGTCGTATGATTTTGTACATAAAGCCTATAGTCCTTACTGTGCATTTTAGAGTTAAATGCTCATTTCTAGATATCACATTACACTATGTTGTTAGAGATCTTGGGATTAATTCTTTTTCTTGAAACTAAACAGTTAATGGTAATACCATGCGTTGTGTCCAAAGTTATCTTTCACGTGATCATAAAGTATCTTTCCTATAAAATCATATAATGACTTTTCAAAGGGAGAAACAAGAACATAGACAGCTTTTTATTTTTTTTTTAAAACTGTAATCAATTTAACTTACTGAAACCAAAAGTTATAAATTGAGAAGTTATTTATCCACTATAAATGTCTTATCTAGAAGCGACATAAGCAGTTAAAATAGTTTTTGAGGATCCAAGTTGTACATTATAAAAAAAAAAAAATCTGAGCAATTTTAATTTATCAAGATTTTTTTCTCAGTACAATGAAAGCCAGTTCTTGAAAAGTCATCCCACAATCCTGCATGGATTTCAAGGATTATTTGCAAACCAACATGTCATAATAATACTTAAAGCTCTGTAAATTGCTTAAGAATTTATTTAGAAGTCTAGGTGCTACAGCTTCCATTTAGAGAATATGAACCTTTTATGAGCTTCATATAAAATATATATGAGCTTCATATAAAACTCAAGAAAGGTGGCAAGGTATACAGCAAATGCCCTCAAATAAACTTATATTAGCATATCACTCACAGAGACAGGAGATAGGATAAGCTTATTTTTAAGTTTTAGGGTAGGGCTGTGCAACTTTGAGTGGCTGTGGGTCACACCTTCCCTTTGCTGACTCCCCTGCAGGCTACATGTCTCCAGCACCAGGGAAGAGGTGGCAGGAAGTCAAACTGGAGAAAGGACTGGGGGTCCAGAGACCAGCCCAGGGAGAAGTGACAACAGCAGCAGCAGAAGGCAAATAGAGAGAGGGGCAGTAATGGCCAGGGGAAGCAATCCCCACACCTATGGGAAAATGTATGGGGAGTTAAGTATGTAAGAACTGTGGGAGCCCCTGGGTTGCATGTTAGGCACTTGCGGGCTACATGCAGCCCACTGGCCACCATCTGAACAATGCTGTTTTACAGTATTTCCTTCCTTCTTTTTCAGGTTTTCCATTCTTCTGGTAGTTTTGTAGATCCAATTTTACTCACAAACTTGGAATATATGCCATGTATTATTGACTACTTTAAAAGGCATCTTGAAATCATAGTACTGACTCAGCTGGCTGTTCCGATATTTATAAACAAGGCTAAAAGAGGCTCCTCAGACGTCCATTTCAACATATTACATTATGATATAAAAACCTAATTTGACATTAAGTTGGCCAAGCTACTTCATGTTTCAAACTGGAGTAGTTTAAAAATTAAATAACGACTTAATAATGGGATTTTCTCAACAAACGTGCAACGAATGGGGTTAGAAGAAACTAGCCTATATTGTTAGTATTTAATTTGATAATTTAAAAAAAACCAGTGTCAAATCTACGGAGGTTACACCTCCCTGTTTATTCCCATTGGTCAATTTGCCCCTTTAATCTTTACTCATTTCATAGATTTCATAGACATTAGGGCTGGAAGGGACCTCGGAACATCGAGTCCAGCCCCCTGCTGCCTCAGGGGCAGAAAGTCAGCTGGGGTCACAGGATCCCAGCAAGATAAACGTCCAAATGTCTCTTAAAGGAGTCCAGAAGAGGTGCTTGCATCACCTCTGGAGGCAGTCTGTTCCAGGCCCTGGGGGCTCGGACAGTAAAGAGGTCACCACTCCTTATATACTTACGTATACCCCTTATATACTTATAGGCAGCCACCAGGTCCTTTCCCCCCCAACCATTACTAAGACTGAAGCACTAGACCCTTTCTTTACCCCTGAAAGAAAGGGGTAGAGTTCTACGCTCAAATAACATGAGAAAGTTCCAATACTCGTTCATATTTCACTGTATTAACACTAATTTATTAACATGAGCTATTGTTAACAATCTGAAAACAAACATGGTAGAACAAAGATGCTTCCAAGTGTTAAAAGCCCACCATGCTATAGCACAGGCCAACTTGTAGTACTGAAAGGTCTTTATATGGTCTGGACACTAGGCAGCATTAAAATAAAGCTTTCCATCACACTAGGGCTGCTTGCAGACATTAAACCTCCCCTCCGCGCCCCCCACCCCCACACAAAAGGCCCCAATAAAAGGCACTTTAAGCTTGATGTGTTCCTGCACTGAGCCCAGAGCATGCTCAGAAAAAGGCAACACGCTAGCTGGACCCAGCTTGCCCAGTGTCTGCATATATCAGGCACTTTAGTGGGGTTTTTTGGTGCTTTTATCCAATAGCTGATTGAATCAGCTTTAAATCAAAGTGCTAAAAAGCCCCACTGAAAAGCCTCATACAGATGCTGTGGATCCAAATCAAAGTAACATGCTGCTTCTTCCACTAAAGCATGGGTTTTTTTGTTTGTTTTGTTTGG